AACGAAATTGCAGGGTATCTAGCGTTGGGTAAGTAAACTTTTTTGTGAACTCCTCTGTGGTGCGCGTTGGGTTATTTCTATGTGGTTTTTCTAACCGACATTTAGTGGCTTTTGTGCTCTTTTGGGTTCTTTGGCATTTTGCGCCCAATTATTTCAATTTGTTAAATTGTTAAGCCAAACTGGTGAGCTGAGCAAACTGGATAGCATAATAGTTGTGGGCGTATTAGAATTTAATTAAAAAGGTGTAAGAACTAGGAATTGTCAGATGATGAGATGGAAATGTATGAAAGAGTTCTTAAACTACATAAATCCGTAATACTCTGATTAAACAACAGCAAAAACAGATCTATAGAGCTATACACAAAACACACTTGAAACAAAGTTATATCATTTGAACATAACTTTTATCCAACTGAAAACTGAATAAAAAGCGAGATAAATATATGAAAACAAAGTTTCGACTGCAATGCGAGGCAAATGTATTTAAAATCGAATCAAAAACTAGAGTGAAAAACGCCAAAAAGCTTTTCACACACACATGTGCGTAACTTCTGTGATTATGGCAAGAAGGCGTGGCAACATTATAATAAGCCGTGAAATAAAATGCAAATTTCGCACATCACAATTGTGCGACAACAATTGCAACACATGCAGCAACAGCAACAGCCAGCAGAAGAGGAGGAGGAGTGGGGGGAGAGGAAAGTTTGACGGGGGAAAGTTAGCAAACAAATAGAACATGAAAATTGTGAAACAAACTTTTGCTCAACGCCTGCAGGATGCGAGTGACTAGTTAACATTTTGGCCAACTGGCGGACGATTGCCTTTTTGCTATGATTCTTCTTCTTCATTTTTTTTTGTGTTTTTTTTATTAACAATTAAAAGTGCAAATTATGTTTGCCAAAGTCACAGGCGAATAAATTTTACAACTGCAAACTTTAACTAGATTTAAATTTTGCAAATATTTTACCAAACAAAAGAGTTTGCGCATGATAATAAATCAAATATAATAAATAATTTAATACAAAACAATAAGTAGAGAGACAACTTCGGAGCCTTTCGAGGGAATACACAAGATCACTCACTGTTGTCTATATATGTATGTATGTATGTTGTATATGCAGCAGCCCTCATTTGGTATTTATATTCGAGTAAAACGAAGCAGCAGAGAGTGCTCCCATTGGTCACTCAG